GAAGAGAGAGAGAGAGAGAGAGGTGAGGGGGGGGGGAGGAGGGAGGGATAGGGAGACAGGGCAGCATAGCACAAACTCATCGGTTGTGTAGATACCTGTTGAATGCACTTGCCCAGGGTGGGAGGAAGTGCTGCTGCCACGACGGGTCGGAGAAACGCACCGGCGCCGCTGCTACCGCTGCATTGAACCGGCGAAAGGATCCTCGAAACAAACGGTCACGGTCGATCAGAGATTCGAAAACCCATTCCGCATCTAGCGCTGCCTTTCTCGACCGCTGGATTTGCTTGCAGAAATTCTAGCCGTCCGTGGCTTGTAACTCGTCGAGGAGAGACGTGGTAAATGGCAGGCGAACAGAAAGCTCCGTGCCCGATTGCGGAAATATATTATCTTTTTCGTTTGATTTATAAAACTAACGAATCGCGAGGAATTGAACTTGGTTAATATTTCTCCGGTGGATGATTTGATGGTTTGATCGCTCGTTGATCGCGTTATATGTTATTTATGCTGACAGGAGAATACGAAAAAATACAAACATCATTCTGGTTATCAATTTCAGAAAAACTTTTAGAAAGAGAAATTTATATATTAATAACATTTCCTTTCTAACAGAGATTAAATGAATTTTTCGCATACACACATGCGATATGAAGATAATCAAAACATCTAAAGTCTACATTTTATAATATCCATTATGAAAATCATTATAATCAAATAAAAATCTATATAATTTGCATATCGCAGCCATATATGTATTAAGATAATTTGTCTTTTTAAACGATATTAATACATTTGTTTAAAAGTGAGACAGAAATACTCTTTTCAATTGCCAATTCTATCATTAAATCGCGAAAGTTAGCTGTCAAGAAGATTTGATATTAATTGAAAGAATTTCTACGAGCGCTTAATATGAAACTGTCACAGCTGCCAACGACATGATTCGAAATCGCTACGAATGTCACTGTCACGTCCGTTTAAGAGAAGACAGCTCTCGGAAAGCTAACTTAAAACCCTCGAAATTACATTCGTCAAGAATAGAAAGTTATGCGCTAAATTGAGACTCGTGATTACGCGAGACATGACGAGTAGCTGGAAAAGAGAATTAACGGTGCCGGTTGCCGGGAAATTCGGAATGAGAATTCGGATTTGTGAATTTGCTCTCGCACCAGGCGAAAAGAAACTGATTACAACCGAGGGTGGAAATTATGCATTCATAAGTAACCAAAGTTGACATTGAACATGTCATCCGAGTATCCGGTCGATGGATTCGACCGATGAATTCTAGCGTTAGAATTCAGATTGCTGGCGCGTATCTAACAGTGTAATTTCGGTGTAACTTTATCACGCGCTTGTTATACGAGAACGCACGATTCCGCCAGCGAGGTGACCGCATTTCGGTATCACATGTTCCGAACAAGATACGGGTTCGGCAAGAGGAAAGGTCGATACTCACACTCGACACATTGAATCCTTCCTGCGGCTATGGCTTTGCCGGTTTCGAAAGAGTTCTCGTTGCGCTAACATGTCAAGCTATTTGCTAACATTAACACCCGCGTTAGAATAAAGATATTGTAGGAGACAAAAGGGATAATAAGCTACGCTAGACAATTATTAACATTAATGCCCCTGTCATTCCAAAGATATTTCATTGTGAATTACGCAATCACAAGTCATTACGCTAATCAGATATATTTTCAAAAATTATCTCTTTGTTCAGAAATGATCATTTCCGTTATTTTTATATTATTCTCAAATATTTTAATTAAGTTTAATTAAAAAATCTGGAAAAATTTGTAAAAATGTGAAAATATTTTTTGCTTTATTAATTTTTAAGGAGACCCGATTTTTTGACAACGACATTTACAATCTATAGCCAAATTTGTTCTTTCGCAAAAAAAGAATTGCTTGTTGCATTAATAATCAGAGATGAAAGAGTAAATGATATATTTTTCGTGATTAAATGTGATTTAATATGAGTAACTATTTCGCGTAATAAAAATGAAAACTAAAATATCTTGCATATTTCAAATTTTGTGCTCGTCGTTTAGAGCTCGACGAGAAAATTACTAGGTCCTCTCTTCTCGCAGAGTCGTCGGAACAGCGACGAAATTACACGATAAGATAGGCGGAAGTGCAAAGTAAGGACGATGGCAGGTAGTTCTGTTGAAATTTTCAAAATTATGCTCTACGTTAGCCATCGGGATGCACGTGACATCTAAAATAATCGCAGTAACGACGAGAAGTATTAATTTTATATAAAAGCCAGCGTTATTAAACGGTGATTTGCACAACTGAATATACTCATTATCTCACTAGTCTGCGTATTTAATACGAGTCGCAGTAAAAACAGCTTCCATATTTCTTTTTTATCTTTGAATTATATAATCTTTGGAAAAAAATATGTTACAAGCAATTATAAATATGACTATAAATATGATTTAAAATCGCGTCTATTATATCTTTTTATTCAATATTTGCGAACATATATTTATTTATTACCTTTATTAAATTTATCAAAGGAATAATTCAGAGTACTGATAATATATAAATATTGATAATCAAAGATTTATTATAAATAATCTTTTATCAAGAAAGCACGCTAACAATTATTTCTAACTAAATAAAACAAAACAAAATAACATTTATTATTTATATCAAAAATATAATTCTCTAAATAAATACAAAAGATTATATTTATGTACGCGTATGTGTATCTTTCTCTCTCTTTTTCTCTGTAATTATATCACATTGTATCAAAATACAAAATGTTTTTATCAAAAAGTTTCCATAATGCAAAAGTTAAATACGATGGTAATATTGGATAAACATCAAAAAGCAAACCAATTTTGCTATGTACAAAATTTCACAAAAGCAACGATATTTGAAAGATTGCAAAAGCATTTTAAATTTGAGATAAAATGTTATTTCGTCGGTACAATCCATATTAGAATAAAACTATATGATTAACTATATAATTATAAAATTATAATCACAACATAAATGGATATAATTTCTTTCGCTTTCATATTTTATGAAAGTGATTTCAAACGAGTCGATTGACTATTTCGGTTGCAAACCGCACATGATTGCGAAATGAAAATGAATAGCTTACATACATTTGATATAATCTCGCAATATATGCGAACCTTCAAAAAAAAGCGGAAATCGAAAATAAGAGTAACACAATTACGTTTGATAAGACAGTTTCCGTAAGTAAACTGTGCACGCGTACATACGATAAATTTCTCTCTGAATGCCGCAATGTTACAGTTAGATAAATTATAATAGTTAAGCTTAATATGCTGCTCTGTAAAGTTACATTCAGACTCAACTTTGATGCGAAAGCATATGAATTTTTTGACCAATTAAAATCTTCTCGTGACCAAAATATCGAGATCGTAATATTTTTTTATAACAATTTTTTGTTGAAAACAAAAAATGTTTCGAAAACTGAATTTTCAATGCATTTTGTTTTAAATATATGTAATTAGAAAGTTATTGACAAACATAATAGTAATTAAAAATGTAAGAGTATTTTTATAATTAAAGTTATTATCAATACAATTTTACTATAGTCATTTCTATAAGACATAGCTGAAATCATTATGATTATTTGTCATTGCATTTGTAATCATGAAATCATTGATTTAATGTTATCACATTTATTAAGAAAAATTCTCTTTTGCAATCGACATGGCTTATTTCCTTATTTTCCATGACATAAAAAATTTATTTGTTTTATTAGAAATAATAGACAATTGCTTTTTGTCTTACAACAATTGAATGCTTTTCATTTCCCAATTTGATTTTGATTGCTATCTTTTTAAAAAAATTTTTCAAGAAAAATTCTCTTGTCCGAATGAATCTGTCATAGATTTAAAATGAGAAAAGAGAACAAGCTCCGCATCGTGTAACTTATGTTAGCCGATATGTCACGAATGTTTGGAATCAAGACTTCAAAAGGCACTTCATTTAGTAGGAAATCGCCCATAGCGAGTTCTTGTCTCGAAAATAAATGAAAGACCGGAGGCTGTACTTTTAACCATTCTGGCCGACTGACTCTGAGCGATTAAACGAAGTATTTCCTGTCTTTCCGCATCGCTGTTAGATTTATATGCATGGATCTCGATCTTTTGATTATACGTTTATATTTTTTTTACCTTTTCTTACCTGTTTTTGTACCTTTATATTTATATTTTTGTATCACATATTTACGTATCGACTTATTTCCGTTTTTGCTGTTCTATATCTGTTTCAAGAGTGCCAAGAGAGCGTTAAATGAAGTATCTTTTCCTCCTTTTTTTTTTCTTCTTTTCGCTTTCGCGCTTACGTTGCATTTCTAATAGTTATTGCGACGTCATCTCGACGAATCGATGATGCGTAATGCATGCATATATGACAATGAGAATTATCGATCGGCCAGTCTGTTTCTTCCACACTTGACACCTCGCCAATTCCCACGACGTACATACACGGTCGGATATTCGCTATTGTTGCTCGCACTCTCTCTCCAATGTTCTATAATTCTAGGCATAAATTATTCACAGACTCCGAGAGTTCAGTGTCCATGGCAATGGTAAAGCCAATGTCAGCCGAGGTTGCCGACGTCGTTACCTATACCTGGCCTAGGACCTTTGGAATTGTTCCAACTGCGAACGCGTACTGCTTTTATGCCGCGATTTTAACGCGAGATGATTTAATTCCGATTACTGCACTATGGTAAAATTTTGTTGTAGCTTTATAACGAACGAGCCAATCTCTCAAATTAATGATCTTTTACTCCGTTGCGCTTTTAGCATTGAATCGCCTTTTGCTTACATAATTTTATTCTAATATATGTAAAAAAATAAGTAATGACTAAACGTAGCAAAATTATTCTAAAGATTTAAATAAAAAC